GTTGAATTTTTAGTTTTTTTCTGAATCCCCTTATAGTGTTAATTATATTTTCTTTGAATTATAATTTTTTTTGAAGTTTGAATATTTGTTTGGAAACGTTTGAGTTTTTTATCGAATTTTTTTTATCTTTTGGCGTCACTGAATTGAGCTTTTTGCGAAAGTGACTGAATACTTATCGTCAAAATTATTTGTGTGAATGGACGAGCGTGAGAGTGAAGAAATAGTACCAGGAGGATTAGGACAGCTGAACTCGAACCGTAGAGTCGCACGAAGCGTAGCGAGAGCTTAATGGCCCTATTATGTATGGCGACTGATAAGCCGATGGGAAACCATAGACTGAAATTCACATTACGTATGGCAACTCGCTACTGACTGTCGGCTACTGGCAAGGCTACTGAGTCTGGTAGCGCAATTTTCTGTATTATGTATGGCTACCATCTCTTTTTATAGTATACACAAACGTCAAATTGAAGCAACTGATCAGCATCAGTCGCCATTGTTATATTTTGCGAATTTCGGAGGAGAAAGCTGAAACAAATTGTGATCATGGCAGAAAAATTGTAGTAATATGTAAATTCTATTTATATTGGTATATAATTAACAGTTTGATATTTCTCCAGGCCAGTAAAAATTACTAATAGCAAGCAATTTGAGCATTTGGCGCATTTAATGCAATCCAACCCAGGAATTGCAAGAGGAACACGGACATTTGGACAAAACAAAATCCAAAACGACGAACAATGGTACGCTTTTGCTACCGAAATAAATAGTTTCGGCCCTCCAAATAGATCTGGAAAAGAGTGGCAGCGGGTAATAATTTTTATTAAAATATATGTACATACTGCAATAAGCATTTTCATGTACATATGTATACATACATTTGTGTAGGTATGGATTAACTACAAGGCCAAAACCAAGAAGAAACTTAGTGCAAATAACCGAAATATAAGAACGACTGGTGGAGGCCCATCAGAGGAGCAAACGTTATCTGCACTCGAGCAAGTGATAGCAGATATTTTACACACAGACGTAAGTGTAAATCCACCCGGCAATGTGTTTGGTATTGTGGAAATGGACGAAGACGAACAAAACGTAGAGCCGTCATGCAGTTCTTCGCCAAATATTTCGATAACTGTTCCAAAAAAAAGGCAAAAAAAAAATATTGAAGAAATGAAAGTGGACATGTTAAAGTCGAAAACTTTAAATAACTCGGCTATAGCACAAAATTAAAAAAAAAAATAGAAAAAAATACATACAAAATGAGCAAATATGCTGAACAAAATCATGATTTAAAAAAAAGAAAAATTTGAACTATTAAAAGAAAATATGAATTTAGAGGCGGAACTTAAACGAAAGAAAATTCAACTTAACGAATACCAATTAAACAATATGTAATTTTAAAGATTCAATCAGGCAGGTTCTGCAATTCACTTGTTGCTATCGCAGCAACACTTCGACATTCATCACACGTCGGCAACTTGCTATATCGATCCGAAAATTGTTGCTAACTGGTTACAGAATCTTCCTACAGGTTGTGCTTCAAAATATCACCTAAAAGCCATGTGTTTTCTCCTGTGTTATTCGACATAATTTCCTTGAGTCTACTATTATTCCATATGAAGGCATCATGTGTGGCTCCTGGATATCTGGCATCGACATACGTTATGTTCATATTGAAATCGCAAACCTAGGTAATAATGAATTTGGGTGTATCCAAGAAAAATATGCGGAAACTAACTTACCATTAACGCGTTTATACTGAAAAATCCTTTTCTGTTTATGTACAGGTGTTGCAGTTCCTTTTCAGGTGCTAAAATGTGCACATGAGTGCCATCCACACAACCCAACACACCTGGAAATCCACTCTTATTGTAAAAATGTATTTTGTTTTTACTCTGCTCTTCTTCGCTAGTGTCAAATTTGATGTGCCTGGGACAAATCTTCTGCTCGATTAAAGAAGTAACTTCAGTTAGTATTACTGACATAGTGGGTTGGGAGATGTCAATATTGAAATCATTCCCTTGGCATTTTTGATAACTCCCTTCCGCAAAGAAACGGAGCACTGCGCAGAGTTTAAGAATTGGAGGTACCGCAGTTGATCGAAAGCTGCTTTTGAAATGAGGGGATAGTTCCTCCAACAAATATACAAATGCTTCCTTTGATATCCGAAAATTGCTTACGAACCTGGAGGTATAGATTTGTTAAAGAAATATGTACATGACGATCTTTTTAACTTACTTAACAACTGGTAGATCCTAAGGATTGGAGCGATCCCTTATGTGACGCCGTATTAGAGCAACGTTTGCACACTCTTCCCGAGTTGCGAAAAATAACTCATAGCTGCTGATCATTCTGCTACTTTATTTTTATAAATATAAATGTTTCCCGGTTGTAACGATTTTTTTTTTTGTTTACATAAATTGTCAAACACATTGGAGCGAAGTTGCCAATTACTTCGAAATGTACGTGTCAAAAAAGCAAACTCAGGGATGTTTTCTGCGTTTTTCTGTATACTGAGATTAATCGCTATACGTAATACAAAGTACGATACTGGTAGCGACGGCTACTAGACCGGCAACTAGACACCAGTCGCCATACATAAAAGGGCCATAAATGTTTCCCGGTTGTAACGATTTTTTTATTTGTTTACATGAATTGTCAAACACATTGGAGCAAAGTTGCCAATTACTTCGAAATGTACATGTCAAAAAAGCAAACTCAGGGATGTTTTCTGCGTTTTTCTGTATAGTGAGATTAATCGCTATACGTAATACAAAGTACGATACTGGTAGCCACGTCTACTAGACACCAGTCGCCATACATAATAGGACCATTAGAGAACCAAGTCGTTGGGTCTCTCTTCACCCAAATAGACACAGGCATTTCATATCCGGTGGACTTCCTGCCCACCGATTATTTTAACAGGTGCACGGCTAGGGTGTTTGCGACATTAAGACACGAGGAAAATTCGCAATCTTCGGTCATAATAACTACCGAGGTAGCCATTAACACGTGAAACAATACCCTTAGTTTCTCTCGAAAACTATACGAGATTTTAGAAATGTCAGAGCAGGACGAGCTGAATATGCCATCTAGTGACGCTGCCGCGGGTAGTTAGAAGTCTGCAGGTGGAGGACCTAGGTCGTCTGAAGTCAATAGATACTGAGCAGCTGAGCCGAATGATGGCGCAAAACAGTGATATGTTAGCTCAATGTATGACTGAGGTCCCCCACATGCGAGGCTTAGCTGGTGTGGAAGCTTCGACACACGCACAACCAACCAGGGTAGGCATGGCGTCAACACCAGAAAACCGAAGCGAGAGGCCAATAGATGCAGAACGTAGCCGTGGTGAGGACGGGGCTAGTGGACGAAGTAGTTCGAGTGCGCTTAGTTAGTCCAGAACTTTGAAGAAAATTGACCTAGATAAGTGGCACGTCGACGGATCTGCCAAGGGGATTACAGTAGAACGTTTCATTTTTAGAATCGAAAAGTTGCGTGAACAATACGGTATTTCGCACTACCAGTTGTTCACTTGTTTTCATTGTCTGGTTACCGGTAATGCCTTGAAGTGGTATTGGCAGATTCTTGAAGACAATGCTGATGACCCGAGCTTCGGCTATTTTGAACTTAAGCCTGAACTGTTAAACCACTTCAAGACAGCCGAATCAGACTAAGAGATAATTAGGGAACTCATGGAAAGGAAGCAACAGGTTCAGGAATCTTTCGATGATTTCTACGGAGACGTTCACAGTCTGACATTCCGCCTTAGAAAAAAAATACCACAGAAGGAGTTGGTAGGCATTATTAGGGGAAACCTTAAGCCGTACCTCGCGAATCTAACTTTTGCCTCAAAAATGGACACGCTAGCGGATCTCAAAAGTGAGTGTAAGAGGGCTGAAAAGGTGATGCGCGATAACAGGAATAGACCAAAACAGGTTAATGAGATAGATTTCACGGAGCCTTCAAAATTAGAAAATATAGAAGATAGGAAAGTAGAAAAAATCGGTAGAATTCAACGTAAAAAGCCACAGCAGTATGTGAGTGTTCAATCTAATGTGTCCTCGTCTAGTCATCCTAATGTGTCTTTGTCCACCGTAGGTTCGTTTTGTCCATTACCTTTCCACCTCATGTTATGTTTTAACCTGTGGTATGCCCGTTGACCATTTTTCCAAAAATCCCACCGAAGCCCAAAAAAATAGTACGTAAGTTTCATAATATGATTTGTTTTTCTTGTGGAGGTGATACGTCTTATTGTGTGTTTAAACCAGTGCAGGGAAACTTAAAACTGGCCGAGATAACCGGGGACTCACGCCAGATGGAGGAGAACCCGGAAAACAAGTGGTCAGGGTCCTTAGCAGAAACACATTTACCAGTGAAAATAATGATAAAGAACAGGAAAACAGCGAAGAAGACAGGAGCATTATTAGGAAGAGTCTACACCAAAGGAAGATCGAATACGAAGAGGCACGCAGGCGGATTTTTTGTGAGGGAATTATAGGGAAGAAGAGAAATAGGAACTTTGCTAAAATCCAGAAGATGAGGGCCAAGAAAAAGAATCTCAAGAGGATACATAATAAGATTATTTCCACTATTGTTACCATCAAGGGGGACAACAGATTTTTTGGGAAAACCAGAATAGGGAGACAGGAGGTGTTAGCGCTTTTAGACTCAGGAGCCGGGGCGAGTTGCTTAGGAAAAAACGCAAGTGTAATACTCGAAGGCAAGGAAGATAAGATAATAGCCCCTATTATGAGTTACATTCGATCTTCGACTGTGGTCGAAAGTGCTGATCGAACGAATTTTCAAGTGGTATTATGGCGCTCATTCTATGAAGAATGGCGCTATTGTGAACTTCGCTCGTTTATGTTGTTCACAATAGCATATTTTTCACCGATGAGAAGCTTTGTTTACAAATCGAACAAACTAAATAGTGTGCTTATACATATTTATGTAAATTTGTGCAAATTAAAATGAAATAAAAAAGAAAGCAAGTTTATAAAAACGTGGTAAAAATAGTACAACGAAGTTCTGGGGTTCAACGATTCGTCAGAGGATGAGAGTTTAGTGAACTGACCAGGAGTAGTAAATGTTTAAGAGTTTAAGTGTAGAGCTCTAGATACCCGGGTATCGAGCTATGCGAGTAGCTCGATACTCGCTCGAAACTCGTTCATTGCTCAACTGCTCAAATGTTTGTTCAAAATTTTCGAGTTTTTGAACAATTTCATAAGCAAAAGAAAATTTGTAAATTGTATTTGTCAGCAGCTGCTTTCTATTTCATGTTAAATAAATTATATTATTAAATACCAATGTAACGATCTTTGCATTATATATCAATAATTTGAAAAATTTTAAAAGTTGCTACCAAAAATATCAATATAATAAAAAAAAACATTGCTCAAATTACTCGAAAAAACTCGAATTGCTCGAGCTCATGCTCGAAAATTTTCGAGTAATAAGCATTGAACAAGTATGCGAGTACTCGCTGCTCATATACCCGGGCTGTTTGAAAATGTGCGAACAAAATCGAGAGCTCTATTTAAGTGTAGTCTTTACAATATATTTTGACATAAAATATATTTAAGAAATTTGTCTACAGATTTACTAAAAACTTCCGACTGTCTAAAGAGGCGTTTGTGAGCCAAATCTATTTAAAATATTTTAAAACTATCCACAGCTCTATGATTTGTTCTCAGAGATCATGCCAGCTGAGTATTGGGATTTTCCTTCACAAGTAAAAGCAGCCTTTCGAGCTTGTGTTTTGTATTCACGACGTTAAAACTGCATGAGATTTATAAAAAATTGTTTAAAATTAGTGTCTTCCCGCCAAAAAGTAAGAAAACAACTGCAAAATCATACATTTTTCACAATTTTCTAACACTTCGCTACTCCATCGAAAGCAAAATTCTGTTCGACAGAAAATCCGATACTCAACGAAAATTTCGACACGGTTGCATAGCTCATAATACGAATTTAACTTTCGATCTTCGATAACCAGCGAAGATCGAAAATCGAATGCAACCCATAATAAGGGCCAATAGCTATCAAGGGCCAACATATTAGAACGGCAAACGGTGGTGAAACCGCAGTGACAGGTGTAATAACGCTCCCAGTGGAATGGCCCTGCAGGGAAAGCTACTAGTTGTGAAATAGAATTCTACCAGTTTGCGTTTCAGTCTAACTAGTTCAAGTTCTATCCTTTTTCAATGTTGGCGACTGGTGTTTTTAACATTGCGATGTCCTACGAGATGTCAATTGTCAGGCTATGCATCAGCATCTACTAGTAGAAATACTAGTAGCATCATACCAGTTGATGAGATAGTCTGCCAATTCATCCCCTATGAAAAGCATTAGTATGCCTTTTTGCTCGCGGCGCTCCAACAGTCGCAATGGCCTACAGAGCAAAGCACTCGCGTGTTATGCCTGAGGTACCAGGTTCAAGCCCGGGCGCAGGGAAATGATCTAACTTTAAAAATCTTAACCACCTCCAATCGGCCTCGAACCTGCGATCCCAGAACCAGAACCAGTAGTCTTCACGTGACGCCACAGCCGACATTTGTAAGAAAAGCAATTAATTGCGTTTTATTTTAGGCTTTGGCAATTCAAAGGCAGATGTCGCTGAACGCTTAAGTTCTTCGAAAATGTCGAACTGGTAGGCACATACTAGTTTATGAACTAGTATTTTTTCTAACTGGTTTGGGATTTCACTGCAGGGGGGATAATGTGGCGAAAGAGATGGAATTTTTGATTGTACCGGGCCTGCAGCAAGAAGTATATTTGGGTGTCGATTTTTGGCAAGTTTTCGGTATGAATGTGGTTAGCAGAGGAATGAATGTTTGTTCTGGCAGCACTGTCGTTGCAGATTTAGTGCCCGCCGAGGTTGACTTATCATTTGACGCGGTGCAACAAACTTACCCTGGAGCAAAGTCTTGCTTTGGACAAAGTAAAAATGCAATTTCCTTCGTTCGCAGTCCTAGGGCTAGGGAAG